CTAAAATGTTCCGGGTGCCGGAATATCGACGAAGGTATTGCGAAAATAATGAAATGGCACATGTCCAAGAGATCTACCGAACGTCCATCGAAAGGGTACCGAAAGACTGGCTTTCAGAACTGGCTGACAGCCAATTCTCGTTCACCTGATATGTCTATGCCGTGAACGTTTAAATAATACTGTTACACGACAAATATCGAGTTCACTATCAGGCGAAAAAAACCGGAGATCATGTATCGCGTACGATCCTTTTAGGAAGAAACACGTAAACGTCAGAAAGATCTATGAGCATCGGTGGATTCACGTGTTGCGTGTCTGTTGCTTTTTTCCCTCTTTTTTAAATTGTGAATAAAATCCATGTCGTGACAGGCAAATATTATCAAGCGGAATTAATTATTAAAAAGATAAAAACAATTTTAATTATACGTGGAATCGTGTGTGTAATCAAATATATGATAATTTGAAATATTTCGATAGAGAATTTTTTTTTTTGAGAATTCTTTCAAAATTCTAAAATTCCAAGTTCTATTTAAAAACAAACATTAACGTTTTATAATCTAATGATATATTTGAAAGGGAATTCTATTCGTTATGATATAATTTTAAAAGTGTTGAAATTAACTTTATGCGTATATATTTTACACATATAATAACAAGGAAATTTGATAAATAATCTGTATTCAAACGATTTTCGCGATGTACGACACGCCTTCTACAAAATTCAATTAGAGTATGTCAGCATCGATTATCTCATTAACTACTATATCTGCGTACTATTAGGTGATATGTAAACTATGTCGATATCAGTCATCGATGAACAGGAAAATGCAATCAGAACAGCCGATGCGCAAAATTATCAATTTCATGGCAATTGATTGGAATATAATTTAATCTGAAGATTCGAAAATCATTGTCGAATGTACATTTCTTGAACAATCGTAACAATTTGCAACCAATATTAACCGAAGAAGCACAATAGAAAATCGTCATCTGAAACTGAATTTTTCAATAAATTAGAACAGAAAAAATATATATATATATATTTTGTAGAAGTTATTTAGGCGCATGAAAACACGTCCACGATACTCTGGGAAGGAAAAATTGCATGGTATTTCTTTTTTCACAATTCTATTACTTAGTTACCAATACTTAGTTCAATCGAATTTTCGCCGGGCGTGTACTTATGTAGACAAAGTTTGCAAGCAAAGCAAAGCTGACAAGTAACTACTTGATGGGCTAACGTGGTTCAGAGACCATGTTGCGAAAAGCTGGACCAACCACCAACTTGTCCTTGATGTTCCCAACTGTTTAAGTTTCCCGTAGTTATAGCTTTTGAATAATAAACGCAGAAAATTAATTATGATAATAAATCCTCTCGAAGTTATTAATAATACGTTTGAAAAAAATTGAAAGATACAAATTTGAGTTGAAAAAAATAATTTTTGAATTTAAAATTACTTTAGAGGATTTCTCAGATTCTTTAACGTGTGTAATCTATCATAAAACATTCGGTTTGCGATTATATCTTTTCTCAAAAATAAAAAACATTGGACTTGTATATTTCTTAAAATCTTCATCTTCAAGATCAGATATCAAGAATCCACAACATTACGTTCGAAGTTAATATAGCTGTAACATATATTTTGTACTTAAATTTATTTCACGTTGATATCGACGATATAATCGGTAAATCGAATTATCGATAACATCTCGATACTATAATATTGATCGATAATGTCATTGATAGTAATATCACTACTCTCGGTACATTGTTTGATATATCGATGTCGATACGTTAATAGTGTGTGACAAATACACGCGTGGACAATCGAACATTGTCGATTTAATACTGTTTAGTTGAACGATAGTTTCTAATTTAAAGTTCATTGTTTTTAACCAATGAAATTGACAATAGATATTTCGACACGTGGAATTATTGATCATTCTGAATTAAGAGAAATTCCAGATTGCTTCGTGATCTATATAGATTGGCTAAGCTACATGTATATATATTTAATTAATCGGTAATCACTCGATAAAACAATTAATTAAAATTAAATATAATTAGAATGAATTTATTCGAAAAATTTCAATAGATTAAAGAATCGAAATGGTAGAATTTCTATTACAGTGTAATGCTGAATCGTTCTGTTTATCTGTGAATAATGCAGTTCACGTTCTAATACGTAAATTTCAATCATTACGAACCTGTGTCGTGTAAGCTATTCTGCACGCATACAATTCACGTACTTGGCTGACAAATTACTTGTTACAGTTTCGAACCGAGTTTCAATTACATTGCAAAAGTTGAGTATAGCATATCGACCAGTCCATCGTTAATCTTCAAATCTCGACGCTGCTTATTGAACTTTCAAAATTATCTCTCTTATTAAAATGATGTACTTATATGTTTCTATCGAAGTTGAGGATGACGTTAATTGATAACGTCATTATCAGTGCCATCGATTCATCTTTTTATAGGTTATATTAATATAATACAATGATGTATTATATTCTATAAAATAAGGATTATTAAATATATTATCGCTTATAAAAATATGAAAGGATAATAATTGGGAAGAATTAGGTAACCATTACTTCATTCTGTTCATCGGATCAATTGCAATCTTGAGTTTGCAAGCTTTTAAAACAACGTTCTTTGAAAACATAGAGAGAAAAATATTGGTCTTCTCGAAATAATTCTGAATACGAAATAAGCTCTTAAAACATCAATTGAAATTTTCATTCGATTATATTCAACACATTTCTTTCCACAGAGTAATAGCCCCGAATCCATATCGCTTGCACTCAATACTCTACCACTTTATGCATAAGAAGACATAAATTATACATGAGTTGTTGACACGACAAACAGCTTGAAAGGAATGAATGCCTGAAATAAGTCGATAAAATATTAATTCTTACTTTATTTAACTTTGGATGCTGCTTAATGAATATTGTTTTTCCTTATTTCATTATTTTTCCTTGTTTAATTAATCTTAAATAAAATAAATTTGCAATGAGTTCGCTTAAATTGGATTGCACATTATATATTCGATATCTGGAAATTTTTTTCAATTCAAAATTTCAATTTCGATTTATTTTTCACTTTCTGAATTTCAGTGTTGCAAAGTCTCAGTTTCTCGAGTTTCTTCTACATAATTTAAACTTGTTAGATGAGTTTATGTTTTTAATTAAAATACCTTCAGACATCCAAGATTATATTATACGATAATGTATAATAATATTTCTATTAAATATCTAATTTACATAGAACATGATAGTATTTAAAATATTAAAACATTTGTATATTGTTTGTTCGAGAAATTAAAGCAATAGTGAATAAGTCGTGATCCTTTCAAAATAAACACGTCATTTTATCTTCGTACGACTTAGATTAACTTGTTTAAAATTTTAAAACGAATGAAACTCGTACTCGAGAAGGTTGAAATGGATTGCTCGACGTTTCTATGGCTCTTTTAGGGTAATCACTGCGATTCTCAGTATGCAGATTATTAACTGAAGAGTTGTGCTAATGTTTTGGAATGGTCGGATAAACTTTTCATCAAATGAAACAATAATCTCCACTATTGGATTTTCCTTATTGTTTATTATAGAGATCGTCCTGTTTGCAATTATATTATATATTGAGTTTGTCTTGTGTGATATTTTGATATGAAATATTATTTTATTAAATTTATATTTGAAAATTGATAATGAATAATGAATTTCAATTTTGAAGCATTTCCAAATTTTTCATTATTTAAAATTTTTCAAAATTTTTATATTTTGCATCTTGAAATTCAGATAAGTCCTATAAGCCTTGATAAATTGTAAAAATTTTGAAAGCTTTTCAAGTTTTAGATATGTTAATACAATGATTTTATAGTCTTGGAAACTTGATAGATATTCACTATCCTATGGTGTATGCTATATAATCTTATAGTACATAAGGTATTGAGTAGCCATAGAACTTTTAAAACCTATCAATATTTTTAAAACTTCCAAGACTTTTCAAATCTGTAAGACCTTAGAGATCTATCAAGATTGTCAAAATTTATCAAAACTTTAAAGACTCTTAATCTTTTAAAACTCAAGATTCAAGATTTTTATATAAATATTTTTATCAAGAGTTTTATCGAATCAAGTTTTCATTATTATTATTTAAAAAAAATAAAATTAATAAATTATTTTCAATTAGTACTGTGTAAAATATTAGTAGACAGAAAATTTTCTTTATATTGTAGTAAGAAACTTTTTTAAAGAAAGATATAGAATTGTAGAATACATAAATATATCTATATATAAAATATACTATACATATGTATATATCTATATTTGTTTTGCTAAGATAAAGGAAACAATAAAATAGATTCTTTACTACATTAGAACATTAAACAGAACATTGAAACATTTGAATAATAAAATATTTAGATAACAGATTTACAGATACTAAAAATTTTACTTTATTTCCATTGTATATGTAAATGTAGCTTAATTTAATATGAAATTGGAAAAATGTTCCAACACATCACACATGTCATATCAAAGAACATATATATGCATATTCTTATTCCACAAAATAATGATTAAAGAACAATTATTTCCATAATATAAAAAAAATATTTTTTACATACATGTCTCTTTTTTAAAACTTTTTACTTTTACAATCTTATTTTGAAATTTTATTTATTAATATAAAGTATTAAATATGAAATTATATGATAAAATTTATAACTGTAAAATTATTAAATTATATATAAATAAATAATTATGTTACATAATTAAATAAAAAATATATATGTAAAAATTTATTCAATTATGAATAACAAAATTAATTTAGTATTATTATTATTATTATTATCTACTAACAGGATATTTAAACAATGTAAATAATATAATATTTATGTGATTTTTTACATATATTATACTATGCTTTTTTATATTTTTATTTACTCGTTGTATATTTATCTTATATCATTTTTTTATTTCTGTTGCAGATAGTATGATATTTTCGTGAGGCGGAAACCAAAGGTATGTAAATATGTATGTTAATATTTCTATATATACATATTAAGAAAATGAAATGTAAATTTAGTATGTAGGTTTTTTTTTTTTTTTCAAAAATAACATAAACATGAATGATCACAGAACAAATAGGAAAAAAAAGTTCGAATTTTTTTCAAATTAATATTACAATTTTTCTAATTACAATTGAACAAAAACTGGATCATTTTAAATTGAACAATTGAAATACTTTTTATTAGTTATAGTAACGATTCATTTTATCTGCTTGAAACATTGAACAACTTTTGTTCCCTCGTTTTCTTCTTCTTTTACTATGATTATTTTATCATCTCGAATTGAACTCGCGAAGTTCTTGGCTACGTTTATTTTCAAAAATTGAAGAAACGACGAAGTCGATATAAACGAGATCTCCTCACGAATAATTATACTGTATATTGACTAGTTAAGTACAAGTGTATAATACGAGTGTTTGTATGCACGTTTCATACTACTGATAAAATATAAATTATGCAAACAAAAGTTTTGACTTGATTTTGCCGTAGAAAACAATATACATCGAAGTTTTGGTATTTGAATTTTGAGTAGAAGTGAACAAGATCGTTCCTTTAGCAATTTATACGAGTAATTTATATTTACATACATATGTAGAAAATAATAGACATTGTTTTTGTAAAACGCTTTTCTCTCAAAAGTCTAGATATGCGTAACAGTTTTTTTAATATTTAATATCTATTAAAACGAAATTTTATTTTTTTAACGTTAATTAAAAAGAATTTCAGACGGACTTTCATACATGTTGTATATTTACATAGGTTTCAATTTGCAAAGAAACGATTTATTCAGTCCACCAATTTTAACACAAAGAAAAAGTGAAAGAATTTTAACGAAAACTAAATTTGTTAAATAATCGTTGCTAAAACTTTATCCCATATGCAAACGAAGAATTATTTTCATACAGCTTCGAACAAAAGCAACGAAGTATTCGCGCAACAAAAGTTCTCGCGCAGCAAAAATCTTTAATACTCGCAGTTTAACTCTAAAAATATTCTTACGTGGAAATTTTTAAATCTTTCTTTTTCGAAATTATCGTAAAGATTGTTCCTACAAAACCTATTCCTTTTTTTTTTTTTTTTTTTTTTACCTTCGCCATTTCTTCAACCTCTGAACTTCGAAGTCTCGAGAAAGTTGAAACGATAAGAAAATCGTTTATACTTAAATTAGTTGTGGAAGTGCTAGTTTGGTTTTCAAACTGAATAGTTCTCGAAATTTTCATAGCAACGATCAATATTCATCCCGGAAGAACTTCAAATTCAAATTTAAATTCTAGAAAAATTTATTAACTCGTTGTTGAAAATAAAAAATTAAACGCAAAACAATTGTTTGACTTAAATGGCTAAAATTTAATCATCAATCATTTCTATCTTAATTATCTGTCCATTCTAATATATTTTTCAATTTCTTCCATTATATATATTCCATATAAATATCCGATTTAATATTCCATTATTTAACTTCTACTTAAACGTAATAATCCAAGAAACAAGCTTACTCTGTTTCTGCTGAATATTCCACGATCAAGTTTTTACCTCAATAATAGACATTTAACGTTAGGAATCTACTTAATCTTTGAAATCTACAATCACAGATCAGGATTGAATAATTTCAAGTATTAATTATTATTCGCTAGGATAAGTTTCGACAATTTGTAACAATTGATTTAATTTCACTTTAAAAATCTTATAATCCCTTGCACTTTCAATGGAAGTTTTTCAAAAACTATGTTACCTATTTTGATGATCTAATTACATAATTAATTTGTTTCCACTGCGAAAACATATTTGCGATCCGCATTGTCATCCGATAATTCGAATATTAATACGGAGACGGACGTTTTTCTCTTTTGTTCGTTATCATGCTCGCTTTACATCTTCATTCGTGCATTCATCGAGGACACGGATGCAAAGACCAGAAAGGGGATGCACCGTGGTCGAAGAGTGAAATCCTACAAACGTGACAGGCGTGCCAACGACAACGGTACTAATACACGTGAACAACGAGCGAGGGGGTGCTAAACTTTCGACACGTCCAGCTTTTCTCATACACGAACCAGTTCGTAGCGATCATTCGTACTCTTTTTCTCTCTCTCTCTCTCTCTCCTTTCTTTTTTCTCCTCCTCCTTCTTTTTGTTCACGCGCAACGAGAAACAAATATAAACGCGAGCCAGATGAAAAATCGCGCGGCTCATCAATTTTCTGGCCGATCGAAAGTTATCCATCGGATCAATCTTTGCATGGTGACGCGAAAGAAGCGATACGTACACTATTATACGACCCAATAAATTTTTATTACCACCCAGCCTTCTCCGTGCTGATCATCTCGAATGTTTTCGATGCGAATCCGACTCGATATAAGAGGATTTATCGAAGCGTTCCGTCGAACTTCATCGATCCGGATTTCTCTTCTTCGATTATTTTTTGAGATATTCTTAAAGCGAAGATATTCTTGTTAAACTTGTATCGAGGAACATAACGTAGCCTTTGTAATAAATTTTCATCCCTTCTCTGCTGCTTGATATTGTCGGTTGGAAAATGCGAACGATATATCTACTTTAATTTCCATCTCTCACCATTCTACCAACCATTCTCTCTGCTCATAAATCTTTTGCCACCTTCGCTCTTCCACGATCTACGTATCTAGAGAAAGAAGATGTAGCCGTATCAAATAAGATCTTCTTCTTGTTTGTCCTGAAAAATAGTTTCATAAGTGGCAATGAATTTTTCTTCAAAAAAAAAAAAAATAATCCTGCTTCCATTTGCCATTCTCTTATTGGCCAAAAATAATTATTACTACTTTTTTTTTTTCTTTTCTAAATATACTTTTGTTTTGCGAATTTAAGATACGTAAAAATCCACTCCCTTCCACGTGTTTATCGAAAAACGATAAATTTTCGAGAAACGAAAATCTTCCTCTCGAACCTGACGAAAGAAAAAGAAAATACGAAAATACACAAGATTTTTAGGTTAAAATATTTATCTATCGTACGAACCACATTTTTCCATTACTATTTCCAAAAAAAAAAAATAGTTTCCAACGAAAAGGGACAAAAATCTCTGATCGAAAGACAAGGACAATTTGTTTTCCGGAATTTTCTTCTCTCTCTCTCTCT